TATATATATATATATATACATCTATATATTATAATTATGAATATATTTGTTAATTATATTTATATCATTATATTATATGTATATATTAGGGGTGTAACAGTACACAGAAGTCACGGTTCTGTCTCGCACCTCGGTTTTGGGATCACGGTTCGATGCAAGTTCGGCATAACAGGAAATGTTTTTTTTTTTTTTTTTTTGCAATTATGCACATGCATGGACGCTCAAACAGCTCATGATGTAGAGATCAGCATACTTCATTTCAGTCAATCTAAGGTCATACTGTTGACAGTCGTCATATTTGAATGGCTTTTGTCATCAAAAGGGGTAGAAGTCACAATTTTGGTTCTGCCCGCTAGTTTCAAAGGAGAAATATCATGGTTGTTGTCCTTTTCTATGAAGTCTAGAAGGAATTAATTCAGGCTTTGAAAAAGGAAGTATGAAACAAGCTTCTCTCCTTCTTTGGAAATGCAGGAAGGACTGAAAATCTGAAATGGTCTCCTCGCTGGGTTGTAACATAAGAAGTAACACTATATCCCTTTGCCTAACTGTCCATTTGCTTTACTATTTATAGTGTTTGTGTATCTGCCGCTCTTAAGTGTGCCGACTTAAACAAGTATTCAAAGTGTACAGTCAACATCTTATGTGTATACTAATCATTAAATTTAACATAAAATGAAAAATTTTACTACATTCAAAAACGTGTTAAATACTTGTTCAATGTTTGTTCAAATTTCAAGCTAATTAAATTAATTACATTTAAAACCCATTTTAAGAGCCATTATTGTCTTTTTTTTGTTGTTTTTTTACCCATTTAAAATTATTAAAAGAGCCCCTTTTAAATAAATCTTTGTATGTCCCGTATTTTATCACAGAAGGGAAACCAATCAATGTAATATTTTCCATTCCTTTAGGTGGCCAGTCTAAACCCAAAGGATAACTCCTATTCGTTGAAGGACTTTATTTTCCGTGAGGTCCAGAGGGACTGGCCGGGCTACACGGAGGATGAGCGGGTTCAGGTTGACAGGATCCTGGCACGGTAATACTCATCGGTCACATACAATTAAAAGAAGAATGACTTTTTAATTGAACATGAATCATTTTTTAGAGCCAGTACAAGAGATCCCAAGAGTATCTGGCAAAGCTTAAATTAGTTCATTTTTATTTCCTCCAACAGTAAATTGGGTTTGAATTCAGAGTCTGTATCTTCCAGCAGTCCAACCAAAGAGCCAACGTCCCCACTGGTAAGACACATACATAAACTTTGTATCGATATTTTTCTTTCTTTTTTTTTTAAACTCATAAATATTTAAATAAAAATTTTTTTATTTCATATATATATATATATATATATAAGAAAACTTTATATGATAAACATTTCTATATAACAAATTTAAATAGAAAATAATTACACCTTAAACTGAAATACATAGACTCATTTAAGTCTACATAGTAGGGCTGAAAGGGATTTAAGAGGGCACTGAATGACTCCTTAACCACTCTTTAAAAAAATTAAAATAAAAAAATCAATGTGCCATCTTTGGGTACATACCAACTGCAAAATAAGGGGTCCACTAAGCACCCCTCTGACAAATGATGAACTCTTCGAAACACTGGTTCACCCATTTGAATACATCCGACCTGAGCTGAAGCTATAATGAGGAGGGAATGTAAAGGCCTAATCCAGAATTGGAGAGGAGAGAGCGTGGGGTGGATTTACAGTGCTGGAGAGCACACAGAGCGCCTTGTAATTAGGAAGAGAATTTGTCATGCTCTTCGGCAAGGCACGCGGATGAGAGCCGCTGAATAGCAATCTCCCCAATGTTTACCTAGTGAGGGACGGCCGGTGCTGCCGCACGGCGCTGTAGCCACACCGAGAAGATTTGTATAATTTCAGAATTTAAAGCAAAAACTTTAGATTTGTGAAATTATGCTACTTTAGACACCTGCACAAAACAAAAACAGCAGACAAACTGAATGAAAATGCAAATTTGTTCTCTTGACAGCAGGTGGCACTTAATGGAACAGCAATACAGCATTTCCTTGGTTATCGCTGTTAACAAAGCAGCTGCGCTTATAAACACTAATATGCATTATATGGAGGTAAGAGGAAAATAAAACGGAATCTAAACATTTCTGAAGACAGTCAGTTCCCCTCAGATATATATTCATATAAACTCCCACATATTTGTCTTCGTATATTTCGAGCATCGGGAACAGTGAGCTTGATCTGCCTGGTACAATATTTTGTCCTCTTTACAGACTTCATAAAAATTCTGTACAAATGACATTTTGGGAAATGATTGCAATGCAACATCTCTAGAACCCGAAACTTTCCCACACTGCTGATTTAAAACTAGCAGGCGGTTCTTTGAGCTTGTGCATGTCACCTGAACTTGCCGTTCTTGTTTTGGATTGGTGCGTAGATTGTCTCTTCTTCTGCTTTTTCCTGTTGTTGCATTACCGCTCAGCCCCCTCTGGATTGATCATCTATGACTGACTGTATTACCGGGATGGGTCAGGACGAATACATGTACCATTACACCCCTAGTGTATGTGTGTGTGTATATATGTGTGTATATATATATATATATATATATATATATATTTCCTGATTGGATTTAGCCCCGTGAAACCGATCCTGGACCATGTGGCTCAGCGAGGAGAAAATTTGAATGAAAGAGGAAACAGATGAATGAAAGGGAGGGGTGTAAGTGGAAACCGAAAATGGAGTCCAATTTATTCTCTATAGCCCAGTTTGAATGTGATCTGACAATAACGGCTGCAGAACTGGACCTGTGCTGTGCACTTCAAAGTGGGGCCGAGTATCTCAGCTGGATCTAATTGGGTTCTCTACAGTAGTTCTGAATCAAAGCATTTCTTGTTAATCCTCTCGTTTCGTTTGGAGGACCAGGATTAGGCATTTCACTTTTTTTTACTACAGATTTTGTAAAATTATAGCTGTGCTTTTTTTCATTCTGTTATTTATAGACAAACTAACAAGCCAATGCTGATTTACCAAGTGTAAAGAACATCAGCAAGGCTGTGATTCATTCATAGACTATTCACAAAGTAGGAAACAAGAAGTTAATACTGAGTGTTGAGTGTACTTACAAACAGGGTGCGATTTGTGAAAAAAGCAGAGGGGGGGATGCTTTTGAAAACTTTTTTTCTCTCTCCATAGGTGGAGGGTAAGGCTGTAGCCTAAGTAACCTAATGTTAGTGTAATCTGTTAATAACGCACATCATAAACCCATCTTTTTAGGCAAGTACCATATAATGGGTGTCATGTCATGAAATGTTTTTAAAACGACGGGAACTGTATTTAACGTGATCACAATCTATTAAAAAAGTTGTAAGTTAGGCCTATTAATTGTAATGATTTCATTTCCATGGTTATTCAAGCAACGAATAAATTATATAGAGAAAGCGAGCAAAGAACCACAGTATCAACGGAGCTTTTTGAAACTCCGAATCAGTTAAACCATTGAGTAGCAAAATGATTCACTGTTTCGAAGTGCTCTAATCGGATCGCGTATCGCAAATCATTTGATTCGGGACTTCAAAACGTGTATCGCGAATCATTTGAGTAAGATCGGGACCTCGAAGCGAGATCGTGGGATGTTTTTTTATCTCCGGGGATAAAAATAATTCAGCAGAGGCAGGGATGCATAAACCAGAGGGGGGAATCCCCCATCTATATATATATATATATATATATGTATGTGAAAGTAAAGGATCTTAATATATATTATATAAAATTATATTATTATTTCGATTAATATACATTTTAATTAAAAATATAATTATGAACCATGTACAAAAATTGTCACTCTTTGCACATCCATGAATTTGCAGACCCAAGAATAATGTGTTTCTTGCTATTCAGAAACGCCAACCTGAGACTGACTTCATTGACCCTCTGATGTCAAGGAAGCCCCGAATCTCCCATCTCAGTAACCGAGGACCCCCCTCCACTTCAGGTCGTCATTCTTCAGTGACTGAAGACAAAAAACCCGCACCCACGGCCGCCTGCCCAGGACCTTCTTTTCACCCTACCCCTGTCACAGGCTCCAGTTCAAACTCCCCCAGTACGCCGGAGGGCGGGGGGTCTCAGGACCTGCCCCTGGACCAGAGCTCTATATGCGGGAACTCCTCAGAGAGCTACGCCCCCCGCAGCCACACGCCCAGCCCACCCAGCCAGCCAATTTCCACGACGTCCCCCTCATCCTTCTCCACCTGTACCGTCTCTACAACCACCATTACCTCCACCACTACCACCAGCAGCGGCCACCATGTTTCTTCTGCCGCATCTTCTACAGCCAGCCATGATGGCAATGGCAGCAAAAAGTCCAAGAAGCACAAAGATAAAGAGAGGAAGCAAGAAGGAGAGCGAGAGATGGATAAGAATAAGGACCGAAAGAGGGATCGAGAACATCACAGGGAGGATCACTGTGATAAGGAAGCACAGCCCAGGAAGAAACACCGGAATGAGGCAGAACAAAGACACATTCTCGCCAACATCAGCCACGAATCGGACAGAGAAGGTTTGTTTTGCTGTATATATGGCATTTGTGGTCCTCCATATGCATTTTGTGGTGTTAACATTATTAATTAATTGATTATTATAAAAATAAAATACATTATTAGCTGCATGTCAGCAGTTGTGAATTAAAGATGTGTTAAGCTTGTCAGGCCCGATGAATAGCTTGATTTATGTTCCATTTGCCTTTGGCCCTCAAACTTTAGTTCACAACATATTTATGTTAGTCTGTTGCTAAGGACACAAAGATCATGTCACATGTGCTTGTTAGAGGGCAGAATTCCATGTTGGTACATGACTGGTGTGTCTTTTTACAGCTGGCAAAGACAAGCTTGTCAACAGCACTGAACTTCCAGTCCCAACAAAGCCTGATTACATAGTGTGAGTGAACTTTGACTCCTTTATAGTGTGTCTTTCTGCATAAACCCTCTGCATCACATACAATAATAATATAATAAAATATAATTATATATTTATAAATACATTTGTTTTATATTTATATATATACAGTATCTCACAGAAGTGAGTACACCCCTCACATTTTTGTAAATATTTTATTATATCTTTTCATGTGACAACACTGAAGAAATGACACTTTGCTACAATGTAAAGTAAAATATTTACAAAAATGTGAGGGGTGTACTCACTTCTGTGAGATACTGTACTTATAGAAATGAGCATAAGACCTATCTAGAATCTTATTGTCCTTTTATTGTGTATTGTAGTAAGTACACAGCAGTGATATCTATGGATCAGAGGCAGCACTATAAGGATGACTTCAATGCAGAATATGATGAGTATCGTATCCTTCATGCCCGCGTTGAGAGTGTTACTCGTCGTTTTACAAAATTGGACACCCAGTGTAGACGACTGTCTCCAGGAACTAAAGAGTACCAGGTAGGAGAACAAATTTCTTTTTTGTTCTTATATTGCTCGTTTTCTTTATATAAAGAATTGTATATGTTTATGTATATACATTTTAAATTCCAAGTAATAAGTGTTTGTCTTTTCTTAATTAACAGGAAGTACATGAACAGGTGCTGCAAGAATATAAAAAAATTAAACAAGTAAGTGTAACTGAGCATGTCTAACCCATCTGGGTCCTTTAGACCGCAAGTAAACAATAAAAATAGTATGTTAATTCACACATTATGTTTGCTTTACAGCACAGCCCAAAATATTATGAAGAAAAACAGCGCTGTGAGTACCTGCATAACAAACTGGCCCACATCAAACGGCTCATCACTGACTTCGACCAGCGGAGGGCGCAGTCCTGGTTGTAGGGCACAGGACCAAGCAACCCCTTTTGGCCAATCAGAGCGCTCCCTAACCGGAGGACCATCTTGAAACGAGTGTGGGGATCAAACAGTTCCTTATTTATTCTATTACAGATTCCCCACTCGCCTGTTTTCCCTTATCTGTCCTTCTTCATCACTCTATCTTCTTTTCTTCCTTGGTCATCCTTTCCCATACCTTTTATTCTTTCATTTTCTTTCTTTTTGAAACACTTTTCAAAAGAAAAAAAAAAGGACAACAAAGAAAAATTAAAAATTTTTGAACGCAAAAAGAAAGTTTGCAATGCAAAACCGTGGGCCTTACAGCGCATATTCCTTGAAGCCTTTTGCACAGTGGTGATTGAGCCAGTACATGTGAAAAGTGGCCATAAAAGAGGGTTTTTCCAAGAGCCTTGAGACTTCCTTTCTCCCGATGGCCCTATTTTTTTTTTTCTTTGAACAGCATCAGTATTCACACCCACAGTGCAAATGATGCCTTAAGGTATTAATACAGACACACATCGATGTGGCGTCAGTGAGAATTACAAGCACCCGGGGCAGTGAGGAGAAATTACTATGACCTGATCGCAGGTCCAGCGCACATTCGTGGAAGGTGTGATCGATGTTTGTTTGTGAGAGCTAGAGAAAGTGACGAGTGAAAATTGTCAGTGTGTTTGTTAATTCTTGGGAAGGATTGTGGGTCAGAAACTACAGGAAGAGAGAGGCTCTGGGAGGAGGGTTGGATATAAACTATAAAAGAGGGAGGGGGGAACGGAAAGCAAAAATCCCAAAAAAAAGCTGCTATATTTTGTTTTTTCTTTGGACAGCCAGAGCCTTTGGGACCAGTCTGGCTCATGTTACATGTTCTTAATTTGGGCCTGCTCTAAGAAAATCATCGAATCATCTTGAAAGCAAAGGTGCTACTGATTTATGAGGAAATGCATTGAGCCGAGGCAGACCTGTATATCCATTTCAAATGTATTTCATTAATTATTACAAGTCTCAGAGCAGAGCTATTTATGAAATATGAATAGAATTATATATTTTTTGTTTTTGTGAATTAAAAGGAATTGCTGGAATTTTGAGCATTGAAAAAGAAACTGATCAAATATGCATGCAAGTCTTTATTTCACAATATCATTAGTGATAAACTTCTTAAAGTTTAAGGGAAACGTTATGTTTACAAAACCTGTGTGGTAGAAAGTTTTGCCAAAAAAAGTGATGATAACACAACAAAAATGCTTTGAATCCTATGTTTATGGTCAGGAATAAAATGCGTTTCTCTGAGTGACATGACACTTTGTCATCTAAAAGGAGATGGTGGTCGAACATTTACAGTGTCTTGATATATTTATTTTCTTTGATCATTGTTTAGGGAAAAGATCCAGAATGCAGCTTTGTGAATCAGCTTTGAAAAACATTGCTTTCAATTATGCAAATTCTAACTGGATCAAATAGCTCCATGGTGGATTCTGATTGGCTAGTTGATTCTTGAGGCTTGCTACATTGTATTTGCACATTTTAAGATGTATTTTTGAAATCTGAAAAATTCTCTCTCTCCTCTTATGTTCACAATTATTCCATTGTTAAAGCCTGGGAGGTGTTTCCTTTGTTTTCCAGTGTTGTAAATTGAAATTGAAAAACCTGAGTGAACCATTCTCAAAATAACCATCGACGAATGTTTGTTTTCAGTATTTGGGGTGGCAGATGGCATCTTACTTGCTTTTTTTAGGGGCTTACATGTTATCAAACTCCCCAAGATGTTCTGTTGTGTGAGCTTCTGTTCATTTTAGTCGCCATTTATAGACTGGATGCAATGTCAGATGACAACCAAATACAAGTCGAGGTTATTTAACAGAGAACTTGAGCAGCACTTTACTTCAAAGATGCTTATTTCCTCAGCATTCAGATAGCCTCCACACTGAACCCTAAAGATTTTGGATGACACTAAGAAGTGTTGCTTTGAAAGGAGAATGTGCATCTACACATCGAACTCTGTATCATTCTAATTTGGGTTGGGTGGGGAAGTATTTGGTCATGTGTGACCAACACCTGTTTTCTTTCCCTTTTGAAGAGACTGTGCCTCCGACACCACTAAAAGGAGATGTTAATGTTGAATAATAAGCCAAGAATCTCATAACACTGTCATCTCGTTTTAAAGGTGGGATGGGGGTTGTTTCAGACTGTAAGAGAATTCCTGACCTGTCCACCTAAAAATGTATGAAATCAGTTCAATAAAATGTGAACTTGACTTAAGATCTTTTTGTGTTTTGAATGAGTCATTGAATCATTCACCCAAAAGAATCATTAACAACACGAGTCGTTCACGACCGAATCAAGTATGTTACTGAGTGTCTACAAATCTCCAGCAACTCTAGAAAAATACGTGTTTTGCTAACTGACTTTTATCAAGGAATAAAATATAAGAAAGCAGCCTATACAAATTCCGAGTGCCAGTAATGTCCTTAAAGGGGTCATATGATGCGATTTCAATTTTTCCTTTCTCTTTGGAGTGTTACAAGCTCTTGGTGCATAAAGAAGGTCTGTAAAATTGCAAAGACTCTAAATCTCAAATCCAAAGAGATATTCTTTATAAAAATTAAGAGTCAACCACGCCTACCTAAAACGGCTCGTTCTAACACGCCCCCACATGTCTACGTCACGATGTGGGAAGATTTGCATAACGCCGCCTAAATATTAACGCAAAGAAAGGAGTAACTTTTATTCTCGCTGTAGTATTGTTGCCGCCGCCGCCATGTCGTGAAGGCGCTGTGTGTTTCGTTATGAAAGCGAAACTACTTTGTTTGGTCTTCCAAAAGAGGACACAACTAGAAATCAGTGGTTAAGTTGTATTTACAACACTGTTCCAGAACACTTCAACCCAAATATCCAGATGTGTGCAGCACATTTTATGGAGGACTGTTTCCTGATCCTGGGAGAGTAGACTACAATGCCGGCTGTTCTGACTCACAGAATGTAAGTACGTTTTTTATATATAAAGAATTTGCCACTGAACAATAATGTACAGTATGTGGAAAATGTTTTAACCTTAAACCGCATAAACACATTTCATTACACCAAATACACAAAATAATGTTCTTTTTAGCAACATCATATGACCCCTTTAATGTATTTTATTGTGTATGAGTATTTTTTTATATTTATTTTTTATAACGCAAGTCTCGTTAAGTGCCGGTCCGGCTCCAAAAACCTGTTCACAGTGAAGGGGGCGTATCGGTTCATTAACCAAACCAATGAAATACGCTCTCACGGTCCACACTCGAATCCTATTGGTTTGACCATCGTCAGACTTTGAAGTCAAGAACGCTGTCACATAAGAGACAACCGTGAACAAGGGTAAAAGAGAACGATTCAGTCCCTTAAAAAGATTTGTTCGAAAACCCAAGTTCGTTCATAAACACCAATAGTGCCTCCAACTCATTTTGTATTTTACCGAGGTGTGGTTAATTTTAATCCCGCCTCACTTTTGAAGGGTGTAAACCGACGGAAACTACACGACTCACAAGCCCGGAAAAGAACGGTTTTGTTGTTGACTAAGTTACTCCGGAGTCGTGGACTGTGCTTGTTACATCAAGAACAATGGCAGAATTTGTTAAAGCGCAAATTAAGGGTGACAAAGTAGTTGTGTTCTTGAAGCCGACCTGTTCTTACTGCATACTCGCTAAGGATGTTTTGTCAAAGTATAAATTCAAAAGTGGACACTTGGATTTGATTGACATCAGCGGACGCAGTGACATGGGCAGCATACAAGACTGTCTTCAACAGATCACAGGCGCCCGCACCGTGAGTACTTTGACAATGGTGTATTATATATATTATTATAGTATTATATATATTATTATATATAACATTTTTTGTTATATTAGGCCAGACCGTCAGTCATTACGTCACACAATCACAGTTACTTTAATTCGAAATATAGTCTAAAATGCAACTATGTATGAACTTAAAATGAGAGATTTTTAATCTTCTGAGTGAATTTTCAGTACGTTACCATAGTTTATTATTATGTTGGCAAATATGACGAGATTGTTTTTAGCTGCATATTCACACAAATGCTGAGTCACCAGTATTTTGACCAGCAGCTTTGACCCTGCCCATTGCAAATGTTTAATCATATGCTTTATTCATTTAATTTATTCAATTTATTTACATCCATGTATTCTCCATGTATTCTTTGCAGGTTCCTCGGGTCTTCATAGGGGAACAGTGTGTTGGAGGAGGAAGTGACGTCGACAGTCTGGACCGTTCTGGAAAACTGGAAGGCATGTTGCAGGCAATCGGATCTCTGCAGTGAAGGTATACTTCACAGTCCTTCTTCATAAAATATTAAAAACAAAATATACAACATCATTACACCAATGGTTCTAAACTGGTGTAGCTTCAGGGCCCAGATTTTACATTAGACATCAAGTGGCCACCAACCCAAAATTGTGTATTGTACACAAAAATATACATAAAATGTTTTTAAAAACTGCCTTTTCTCTCAGCAGCCAGTAATTAATTCCACAAAACATATTTTGGTCAGCACAAACCATATTTGACCTACAATTTAAATGCAGTTTGGCTCCAGTGTTATTTTAGTATCACTGAAAGTTGTTTTTTTTTTAATATATATTTTGAATTTTTTTTATTTTTCATTTTAGTTATTTGTCACTTTTATTAGCTTTTGGGTTTTTTATATGCCTATGTACTGTAGACTTTATTTCAATGCTTTAGTTATTTTAGTTAAACAAGGTAAACAACATTAAAATGAGAAATGTTGCTTTGGCAACTAGTTGAAATTTTGTATATTTTATAAAAAAAAAATGTTTGTATTTCAAGTAACACAATTTCACTTAACTATAATAACCATGTTTGGCTCATGTTGTCTGTTACCCTACATAGTTTTCATCTGCAGTATCATTGCTTTTGCCACCATCAACGACCATATTAGAACAGACTTGTGATTCATTTTTGGGTCACGACCCACCCCTTGAGAACCACAGGTTTAGATTTAAGCCAAAGACTCTCAGAGCAAACATGCATCCTGATGCAATATGTGCTCGACTGTCCATTTTCAGTGTAATGAATAATCTGTGAATTTTAACATCTTTTACTGTACTCAGTTGATTGGACTGCCAAAGGTACAGCATTTTTACACAAAGATGATGCCCCTAAAATTTAATTGAATGAAATACTAGCTTACTAATTAAATACTGTGCAGTATGTATGGTTAAACAGTAGGCATTATGTAATTATAAATGTTTCAAACAATAGTATGCTACTGCATGACTTTGTATGGTTTAGATTTAAGCCACAGACTCTCAGAACAAACACGCATCCTTCTAAAATGTCTTTATTCAGCATGAGATATGAGGGTCAACATAACTGGATTAGACTAAAGACAGCCAGAATCGGCTCTACGTCGACCATACCAACTTCACTAAGAGGCGATCCACATGCTGGATGCGTACTTTGTACGTTATTAGTTGAAATAAAAATCTCAGATGTACATGTTACAAAAATAGTTGCATCAAATTAATCTCATGGGGGAAAAAATAAATATTTGAAGTTTATTCAAGTCATATTGCCGGAGTAACCACTGAATTCAGAACGAAAGAAATCTCACCATGACATAACATGGCTGACCATGAGAGTAACATATCAATCTCTGGAGAGAGTATAAGATCGACCCTACCCTGTTTAATACTTTGGGATTAATCCATCACAGAGGAAGTTTATTGCACCAATCAGGCGTAATTGTTCGTATAGTATTATCCACATAGAAGAGTACCGGCGCATAGGATCCACCAGTGAGAATTCACAGCTGTCTGCTTAATATCACAGGGTCAGAGGTCAATGTTCGTGTGAATACAGTACATCAGAATCCACCGTCAACCCAGAGGTCAAACAAAGGTCTCTTTCATCCTGTATTTAAATAAATCTCCAATTTGCATCCTCTGTTTTTCGCCCTCCCTTCCGGTCCGCAGGGCGTCAAGAAGGGGTCACATGATGCTGCAGCGAGACTTGCGGATCTGCCGCCTGCGTTGCTGGTACTCGCTGAGCTCCTGTAGGTAACCTCTGGAGGGCCAACGCAGTCGCTCCACCTGCTCGCGCTCCTCGTCTGTCAAAAAAGCATCATCGGGACTTAGAAAATATTGTTACAACATTCCCTCCTGCTGAATGCCAGTGCATTTAAACAAAGCATTATATCCATCCACCACCAGATTTTTCTTTATCTTGTTCTTCAATTGAAATATTGGCTGAAAATAATGTAATTGTCTCTTATATGTGTTTCTCATTGAGTGTATTTTAAAAAAGAAAAGAAATTAGAAGTTCATCTTAAAAAAAACCTGAAGAGAGCTTGATGAAAAATAAATCTTTTTCCTGTCACGGTTTGCTCGTTCCATTCATTGACTCACAAATACACAATTCATGAGATGACACTCTTTTATTTATTCTCCAACTGCGTGTGGAAGGGCAGGACGTGCTAATTAGGTGTAATGATGATTCATTCATTTCAAAAGTGACCTTACATTTGCTCTCAGTGTTTCAGAATAAAGCTTTGACCGAAGCCGGTAGTGATTTGCATGGGCTTATGTGCAGCACCAGCTGTTAGAAGTGCTCTCAGGGTGTTGGGAACAGGCTTTTGTCACAGTTTGAGACGATTATGTGTGTGCATGTGATTTAATGTGCTTGAACATGCTTTCCAGGTGGTCAAGTGGACTTCTCACCTGATAGCTCCAGGAAGTCAGGCTTGTGGCTGAAGATCAGGTAGTTATTGGCAATGAAATGGAGGAGCCAGACATATAGCTGGTCAGCGTTGTGACACTGTGACGAGAGAGAGAGTGAACATGAGACCAGATAGAATGTTAGAGACTAATAATAAACATGTTGGAAGTATCACAGATGGCATTTTCGGGATAGTATACTACTGTACTTATACTATTTTTAGCAATTTTGAAAGCAAATGTTTGGTATGCATGAAAAAAACCTATGATTTAATACAGTTGATCAAATGTGTAGTATACAATGCTGTTATTTTTTACTAAAACTATCAAAAATAATTTTCAGTAATTGAAAAATATATAAATTATAGATGAAAAAAGCTACCTAAAAGCACAAAAAACACATAAAAATGACAAAACTACGTAAAATGAATAAAACTTGAACTAAAATTCAAATAAAAACAAAATATAAAGATAACAGCTAATTAAAAATATTAATAAAAACAATGATAGTGTATAAATAATACTACAATAACAATAATCTTATTGACAATACTTATAAAAATGATTAACAATAATCTTTTGAACTTTCTATTCATCAAAGAATCCTGAAAAAAAAAAAAGAATCACAGTTTCCATCAAAAATATTAAGCTGTTTTCAACATTGATAATAATAAAAAAATATTTATTGAGTAGCAAATCAACATATTTGTATGATTTCTGAAGACTGGAGTAATGGCTGCTGAAAAATCAGCTTTGCTATCACAGGAATATTTTAAAATATGTTAAAATAGAAAACAGTTATATTAAATTGTAATAATATTTCCCAATATTACTATTTTTACAGTATTTTTGATCAATTTAATTCAGGTCAGCACAAGTGACCTGAATTTAATTCATTGGTCAGCACAAGTGGCTTCTTTAAAAAAATATTTTTTAAATCTTACCAACCCCAAATGTTTGAACAGTAGTGTATATTACAGTTTGAAAAATATATCTTTGCATACTGGTTCAAATACTATATATATTTTTTAAATAGGCAATATGGGGTATATATATTTTAACTGTTAGCAGTGTGCTATTGTGATATTATGGGTCCAAAGCACTCAAAGCAAAGGAAATAAACCTTCATCAAACAAAAAGTCATTAAACACACCCCTGCTGACGTAGAGGTGTAAAGACTCACCTTTGCTTTCTTCAGTAAGCGAATCACGCTGATGCCCATAGACGCTAGCTCTCGACTGGGCATACTCTGAAGATACGCGCAGACACACACCTCACACAGGTGCTGCAGCCGTTTCACTTGGTACATCTCTGCGCAGACGAGCACGGCCATGGCCTGCAGCACACTGGCTGAACACACAGACACACAGCACTGTCAATCACCTCCTGTTTTTCCCCTCCATCAACCTCAGTTCATATTCACCCACTGCCAATCAAGCTCAGTCTTTATTTGCATCTTTTCTCTCAACAGCATTGTTTATTGTCTTCAATATGAAAGACAAAGCATCCATCACATTGATTGACAGAATGAGTGAAGCAATCTGACATACTAAACCTTCCTTCATTGTTTAATGATAAATACGACCTGAATCACTACATGTCATTATGATCGAAACATCTGGATTATGTTGCACTATACAGTGAATATAAAAGGCCATTGTTTGGCACAATTCACAGAAGAACTCCTTCATTCTCACTTCATATTGTAAATATTAATATTATTACCTAATAAGAAAAAAAATTAAGAATTGAAATAGTTTCTTGAGCAGCAAATCAGTATATTAGTATGATTTCTGAAGGATCATGTGACACTGAAGACTGGAGTAATTGCTGCTTTGCCATCACAGGAATAAATGATAAAATATATTAAAATAGAAAGCAGTTATTTTAAATTGTAATAATATTTCACAATATTACTGTTTTTACTGTATTTTTTTCATCAACTAAATACAGCATTTAAAAATCTTACTGACCCCAAACTTTTGAACAGTTATGTAAGTTTTCAATAAAACACTATTTTATGAAGCAAATTAATTCAAGGGATAGCTCACCCATGAATACTGTTACTACACTCTAAAAAATGCTGGGTTAAATACAACCCAGTGCTGGGTAAAATAAAAAAAAAAACCTTTGCACAGTTCGGTTCTATAATCAGAGCACCACCTGTCTGTCAGAGGGATACCTTTTCTCTCCCAACGAATGAGCGTATCCTGTCCATCAGCTGGGCCACGGCCAAAGGGTTCTTCAGTTTTTCAGCAATGGCTTCCTCCAAGTATTCCCATTCCCAGGCCCCTGTGAAAAAATATGAACATGAACTATACCAGGATACAAAAAGCCACAAATAATGTGGTAGAACAGCTGTTTTCCTCAAGAATCAAGCTTTCTTGGTGGCAGCTAAGAAAATAATATTTAGCTGGTGTTATTTCATAGTAAAGACATAGTTTCCACTGTTCTGTCACATAAAAATGTTAATCCGTCACAGTTCAGCTGGTTTAATATTAACTCAGCCTCATTCATAAATCTGTCTAGACACAAACCGAGTGGGATTTGATCCGAAAGAACCACGCACAATGAGTTTCCGTGCATCATTTACGTTAATGTAACGACTGCCCTTGGCTCACGGTAGGAAAATGGCCTCTGGAAAAATCACACTATATATCAGCAGCGGGGTGAGAGGATCTCATCAGTATGGGCCTCACCTTCTCACCTTCTGAGCATGGCCTCACTCTGATAAATGAGTCTATAATATCCATTCCTGTTTCCTGGACTGTTATAGCCCCGACTGAACACCTGATTGAGATGCATGCCCATCCTTCCAACCTCCATTCTGCATCAGAGTTCCCAGAGAATGGAGAACGGGATGTAATACTCCTGACTTGTGAGGAATGTTGTGGCAGGCTAATACAAGCATAGAATCACAATTGTGTACTTGGGTGAATGTTACGAAAACATGTCCATGACACACTTCACCCCAAAATCAAAATAAATGTATTGTTTGCATAAAGAAAATGCTCTGTGACATTATGTTCATGACATTTATGTTTTTCCCTCATTAAAAAGTGTTAACAAAAATTAAAAGTACATTTTAGGCCTTGAAAAAGCTGTTCCAATTTACATGGAGCATGTTACCTCATGGCAGCTGCCATGTTTAGATCACATGACCAGCTGAATCTACTTGCTTTGTTTTGGTAACCCCCTTAATATAAGGAATGTTAAGCTCACAGAATAAATTAAACATGGCTGATTTGAATAGCGCATTTCTACAACAGCATCAGTAACTGAAAGTTTGCTGTTGCGTGATGCTGCTTTCACACCACTAGGAGTCAGTATTATTATATGCAATAATTGTATTGTGTGGTTTGCCATATAGCTGCCAATACAAACAAAAAATTACAGAGTGCAATCCTTATTACCTTAATGCTTCTGGATGCTTTATTTTTTGTTATTTTGTTATTCCCATTATTCTCAGTGGTGGTGACTGTCGTTAGATTTTGTATTGTAAATTACTATAATACAATTGATTTTAAATCAGCATAAAATAAAGGCAGTTTAATAAATACTATGATAAAATTTAAATATTTTACAATTTAAATGATAACCATTTATTTATTGCATTATGGTAAAGCATAAAGAGAATTTCTTAGAAAAATGCTTAATTGCCATAAAAAAAAAAACGTATTTAATGGCCCAAAAACAGCCAACTTTTTATTTAAGCAAAACATTATTTTTGTTTGTTTGTTTTTATTAATTGTTTTGTTTTGTATTGTATTGTATTACGGTAATGAGAATTAGGGAGAATGTGCTTAACTGTCATGAAAATATTGTCACAATGCTAAAAATCTTTATGTTCCAAAAACAGTCAACATTTTATTTAAGCAAAACTTTTTCTTTTTTTTTTGTGATTTTGGGGCAAGATATGATTTATTTGTTTACTTACTTACAGCGATGAGAATTTGGGAAGAAAATGTACTTAACTGTCATGAAAATAATGCCACAATGCAAAAAAATCTTATTGGTCCAAAAACAGTCAACATTTTATTTTAGCAAAACATAATAATTCTTTAATTCTTTATTTTGATTTTGGGGTAAAATATAACATATCTTACTGAGACGATTTTATGAGATTCAGCACTTTATAACCATAAATTCAAAATGTTTTATAGAGGCACAAATATTGTACATCATATCTTCTGGTTTTTCTCTCTTATGTTGCCTCATATGCATATACAGTCACACACACACACACACACACTTAAACAGTTAAAACAAGCACATGCACACACACACACACATACACAGATCTCTCTGTCCTCCCAAGCATGGTAATCAGCCCCACAGCTCCAGGGTCTCATAGAGTAGACTACCGTCATACATGCACGTGTAGAGAACCATAAATCACCCAAGCCTTAGACTAAAGCCATTTTAATTATGAAACCGTCCTATAAAAATCCTTCATTTTAACCACAAAAGAAAACACAATTGCAGAGCTGAAGAGATAAGGCAGTGAATGGGAGAGAAACATTTCAACCGTAACTCAATTGAGTCGCCTAAACCAGCAGAACTGAGGACACATTTTCAAACCGTTTCCTTCAATAATGCTAATCTCGCTTCATATTTATGGTTGTGACAGGATTCTTCATGGAAAAAGAAATGCTGCTGGCACACCAGCAATAAAAGAAGCTCTACCTAGAGGAAATTTGCTCTTTCATAACTCAGGAGAATTGGATTCTCAGTAAAAAAATTAATAAGATAAAATAAAATAAATAAAACATATTTAGAATATTTTATATGATTACTAGCTTTTACTAGGTTCTCAGTAAATAAATTAAAATAAAACTAAATTTTTATTTTTTATTTTTTTTATGATTGCAGTGTCTTTTTTTCATAGCTCAGGAGAATTAGGTTATCAGTAAATAAAATAAAACTAAATATTTAAATGTATTTAAAATATTACATTTGTTATATGATTATTAGCATCTTTTTACACAACTCAAGAGAATATATATATATATATATATATATATATATATATATATAATATATATA